TGGACCCAGAAAATTATAGAAATCGTGATGAGAACATGGCAGGATCACTCTTAATATCAGAGGTACAAGAGAGAAAGTACAACAATCATGTTCTATAACGGACCTACGGTAAAGCCAGTTGGAAAAGTGCCAGCCTCATAAGAAGTCAGTACGAAGCTCGCACCGGATTGTGTATACACCAGAGGTGCAAGTATTGTAATAGAGCTTCAAGTTATGGATGTGAATTACACCTATGTGGAAGGGAGGTCAAGAAAGAGATAGAAGATACGATGCAAGATTTTAAGGTAGTAAGGTAAATGTGAACAACTTACGAAATACCCAAATGCAGAAGGTTGTGAATAATCCATACTTGGATAAAAGGCTAGAAGCGCGGGGATTCAGTATCCAGGAATGATAGCGGCATTGTCAGTAGCATATCTTCCAGCCTATGGTTTCTACGTATCGAGAGGTCTAGTTAAGAGAGTAAAAGAAGAGTTTGAGATGATGTGATGTCTCACTTGATGTTCCAGAATAACATAAGGAAATCTATGGTGCAAGCAAGTTGAAGAAAAGTTGCAAGTAGTGTAAATGAATATGTGTAGGTCGCAAGCTGAACTATGGTAAAGAGATAAGGTTTTAGGAAAATAGGAGTAAGGATAAGAAGGGACGCGTGAGAAGGTGATCAGAATGGATAAGTCCTCAGGATTAAGCCCATGAAAACAAGAGAGCTGATGGTTCCTCTAATTTATTGAAAGCTCAGTATTGCCTGAATGAACTCAAAGGAGTCTCAGACTAGTAGCATTTAGAGGAGATAGAATGCTACCCCGGTAGTAGAATAAAGGTGTAATTAAGATAGATGAAGGATGACGTTTGGGCCTTCGATGTAGTAATGATTTCATGAATTGTACAAGATAAAAATACTCATGTAGGGATAAAAATACATTGGGGTGCTATGAAATACGATTATGGAAGTATAATGTCGTATCACCCCTAGGTGGATCAAGAAAATCACTTCAAATGTTTCACGATGAGACGTGAGCCCTAGCGGCAGAGTTACATAAGAGATCAAGTTATCAATGATAGAGGATAGATCAACATTAAGGTGAATCAACAATGGTTGGACAAAAGTCACAAACTATGAGGTGAGATTAGGCCGCTTTTCTTAAGATGAACTGTAATGAAGAAACATTAAAGGACATAGATTTATACATATAGGATAAGCCACGAGAGCCTGGAGTTTGGTAGCAGACCTCAGTAATGATAAATCAAAGTAAGAGTTATGGAAGTAAAGCCATACGGATGGATAAACAGATCTATGAAATAAGGTATAACAATATTCGTAAGTTCAATAAAGCACCGAGCGAAGAACTTCACGATACCTATAGATGCCCAGAGGGACATCTTGTCAAGCTTTGTATATGTTCACAAAGTGAGGCCTAAAAATTGGCCAAAAGTTGGAGGAAAAAGAGGAGAAGAGTCGCATAGGCACACTTACAAGGTCAAAGTCGTACATGTTACATGATAGAAAGGAACAACAGTTACGAGATTAGAAGGATTCCGACAATAAGTCATGGTATGAGAAAGAGTCCTAAAGAGGTGAATGCCCTAGCCTTAGAATATATTCAAAGAACAGTTGCCTAAATGGCAAAGAGAGTACTAAGGTATTTGCAAGAGCTATGGGTTATGAGAATGATAAGTGCGCCAGTCAACATTCGAAGACGAATGTTCCAAAGGGGGAAATGATGTTACACCCCATGTTTTAGTACGTGGAAGTACGCCATAAGTAAATTGATATAAGCTCAGAAATGAGATGTTACATCCCACATTTTCGGACGTTAAAGTTTCATCGTAAGTTATTCGACGTAAACTCGGGAATGAGATTATTTTTGAGGTTATAAGTATTATGCTATTTCAAAAAAGTAATAGGTAAATTTATGAAGGAGAGAGGGTAAGCGAATCAAAGAAAGTGAGTTTCGTCGAAGTTTGTCAATTTGGGATAAAATACGGTCCGAGCTAAAATATCCGGTATTTATGGACTAGTACCATACAAGGTACCACATGATCATGATAGTAAGGTGTATAAAGTGTATTAAAAGTGAGTAGTATTTTAAGTAAATTGAGATAATTTTTAATTATGTGGGTAATTGGTTAATTATTGAATTTGTGGATAAATATTTAAGTAAAACCTGTTGGATAATTATAAGGGGGCAACTATACACGTGGGGGTATGTAAGTGTGGCAACAAATTGCCAACAATCTTATGCCTAAGGAAGTGGTGGCACTACTACATCCATATCTCATTTTGGGTGTAAAGATCTAATTAAGAAGGCATTTCTTAGTTCACAAAGTAAAAAAGGCATAATTCCAATCTTTGAAATTACAAAGATACGGATGAAAGCTTCAGTAAAAGTCACAACAAGATTATGATCAAATTCATTTTTTTGGCAAGGAATATACAGAAAGGAAAAACAAGGAATATAGGTAAGGAAATGTTTGCAGTTCATATGAGACCTCATGCTACTATAGTGTCGGCAATCTTATATTTGCAAAGAAATTCATACGAAATTGCATTGCATAATAACAATGAGATTTTGTAACTCTAGGGGAGTACGGTACAATCATTTTCAAAAATACCATATGGATTTTTCCCTACTCCAGGTATCTTAAGGCTATCTATTCTTTCTTTTGGCATGATCTATACGATACAAATGAAACGAGAAAATGCACAACTTTCATAAATAACTCTATTCAAAGAAATACTAGGGGTATCTATATTCTTGATTCCCCATGTGATTTATTATTATATCTTTTGTTCATGGGTCTCAGAAAAATACGTATTTGATAATGTTTATCCGAAAGGCATATTGAAACTTTTATGACATTCCGAGAAATCTTATTAATGTAATTCATATGCATTTCATGCATTTATACATGCACATTGACCCATGATCAGATAGCGTTATATATATATATATNCTATCTATTATTTACTAATTTTTATTCCTTACATACTCGGTACATTATTTGTACAGGCATCCCTTTTGACTGAAGACGCTGTGTTTCATGCCCACAGGCCCCGATAGACAGGTCGAGAGTCCTCCTGGTAGGCTATCAGCTCAGCGGAAGATGTTGGTGCGCTCCATTTGCTCCAGAGTTGCTATTGGTCAGTATGATTAGGCATGTATTGATTGGTATGTCGGGGCCCTGTCCCGGGCTTATGACGTTTATGTACTCTTAGAGGCTTGTAGACATATGTCATGTATATGTAAGATTGTATGGCCTTGTCGGCCTATGTTCAGTGTACGAGTGATTATTTTGGCCTTATAAGCCCGTACGTCATATGTATATGTTTGGACCACATGTTGGGTCGACCAAGGTCAAGTATTTTACCCATGTTTTATTCTACTTATCTTACGACAGCCTCTCTGGCTCATTTACCTATGATAGTATGATACGAAAGATATGTTACGCAGGTACTCAGCTGAGTAAGGTACCGGGTGCCTGTTACGGCCCATCGGTTTGGGTCGTGACATTGGGAACCCTTGTGTTGTGAATAGTATGAGGTTCGATACCTCATGGAGTTTATTGACTAAAACCCAGTGTGAAAGCTAACGTATTGTTGAGTTGTTACTTGTTCTTTCTTTATCTGTGATTATCGGACTTAGGTTGTATCTCCGTTTATTCTTTTATGTCATTATTATGGTGTTCCGCCGATAATTGTCGTTTTCCTTCCTTATTGCAATTACCGTATTAATTGCCACTTCACGTAGTCTTTATGTAGATATCATACTCTGTTGTTTCTATACGTATACTTGTTCAGGATATTTAGTCCAGTAGCTTTCTTGACTGTTCCTCGTCACTACTCCACTGAGGTTAGTGATGATACTTACTGGGTACCGCCGTTATGTACTCATACTATATTTCTGCACAATTTTGTGCAGATCCAGGTATTTCGAAGTTAGTTAATCATTAGTTAGCTGTGCGGACTGTTACTGTGGAGACTCAAGGTAAACCTGCTGCTGCTTTCGCAGGCTTCAGAGTTACCTTCTAATTTATATTCATACTGTTACTTTATTTCAAACAGTTGTATTTAGAAAAATTGTAGCAAACTCTCTAGAGCTTATGACTTGTACTACCGATTTTGGGAATTATAAGTTTTATAGAGTTTTCCATTTCAAAAATTGTTAGATGTTGTTTAATTATTGTTGTTATTCAGTAAATGTTAGGCTTACCTAATTCCTAAGATTAGGTGCCATCACGATACCCAACGGAGAAACAATTGGGTCGTGACAGACGTCGTCACGGTTCCGGTGGGAGTTGGGTCGTGACACCCTGCATCACTATTTCTTTAACTAAAACAACGAATATATATTGGTTTTGGCCGATTCTATTTTAATCTTAGAGTTTCCAGACCTAAAGTTACACTTTTCACTTTTAATAGGAGCATATCATTAAAGTTGTTTAGTTGAAATATTTAATAAAAATGCTTGTTTTTAAAAAATCATTTACCCCATATGTATGAGATTTTGTCAATCTATTGTTTTTAAATTTTTCAAGGTTAAAATCATACGTATTCCTACTTTTTGCTATATATCATTCACTTTTCATAAAGAAAATTTATTTTGTTCTTTAGATTGTTAAGCTTTTCCTCTCTATAACTTCCCTTTTTCATGTTAAGTGTCAAGATTGACTTGTATCATAAACGCTTGAATTTATTTGCCATTAATATAATAATACATAACAAAATAAAAAAGGCTTTCTACGTTAAAAAGAAGGTAAAAAAAACAAGAGAACTATCCTGCAAAAGTTGTGAGCGAAGAAAAGAATAAAATACGAAATAATCGCGCAACAAAAATTATGATCAAGTATCAAAAGTAAGAGAATAAATATTGCACCGTTTCCTTATAGTATTGAAAGATATATTGAGATACATTTATGCATTATAATCTCAATAGTAAATTAAATTATAAAGATTGTTAATCCCTTATCAATTCAGTAGTATTTGACAAGACTTATTTAGGTTAGACCTCTGTACTTTCACTAGAGCCCCCATAAAAAACTGAATGCTTAAAACTAGATCCATCATTTGGAGCATCGACAACCTTGTATAGATCAGGATTGGTCATGTAAGGCATTAAGTTGCCAGTTTCTGTTTCTTGGCCATTGTCATCTATTGTCCCAATATTCCTACAATATGCATCGTAACGTGTGTCTCCTATTGGAAAAAAGCTTGAGCCCATTGGAGGTTCAAGTATCCCAGGTAGACTATATACTACTCTGCCCCAATCAATCGTTGATGCAAATTCATTCAATTCATCAAAAATCTGTTTTGGCCAAAAACCAATTTGTGTTTGATTTCGCGTGAGCAAATTCCACCAGTTCCCGTTGACAAGGTCCTTTAATTTTCAAAAAAGATAAAAAAGAAAAAATATTTTAGTGTTATACATTAACAGAGTATCAAATAACTCATGAATTACTGAAATATGTCTAATACTAATTTACCCGCATTATGTATATTTTATCTATCCACGCATCCTTACTTCCATATTGTGTAACAGGAGAGTATACATAATCTAAAGGTATATTTGTGTTTACAATAACAAATCCAGGTTATTATGTATTAAAACATTAATTTTTTCCCGCCTACAAAAGAAAAGCAACATATATTTTGTTACTGAGATGTCGTGAATATAGATTAATGGCAAGATATATAAGACATGCACATCTTATACAAAAGATAAGAATAATATTCCAAAAAAGTTATAAATAACTCACTTGAAAATATGTATATAGCTTACTTCGACCATCTCCATAAAGTGTAGGATCCACCTGCAATAACATTATACAAAAATAATACACAACTAAAGAGATGATAAAAGCATTTGTAAAGATAGAAAAAATATGCTTGTAGGTTGAGAATTAGAAAAACTTGTTGATACTCACCAACACATTAGAGGGATTATAAGTAATATAAGGAAACGATAATGAACTGTTAATAAAAATCAAGATACATACTCTCCATCCAACTTGTATATTTTCTGATCCTTTTTGTATTTTCAACTGACAAGCACTATGTTGCTGGCCTTTCACACGAGGAGTATAAATAGCAGTCACCATACCAGCTCCTCCAAACTTGTTGCTTGGATTATTTTCGGTTTGAACAATAGAAAGTTAAATAACAGAAAACATGAGGTCATAGAACGGCTAAAAACAATCCATCTGTTATCTTGAATTGCCCAACATTTTGTTAAGTTTTGCTTTTCTCTCTCTTTTATCTCTCATTGTCCCCATGATGCATCTAGTAAACTTGGTGTATTTGAGAAGAATGAATATTATCTTGTCCAATGAAGAAATAACCTTGAAATAGTAAATTCAAAGAAACACGACGCAATATTGATTCCTGGATACTTACCTTGTACCCTTTGGAAGGAAAGTTACTTTATTACTCAAGTTGTTTCCCTGCATACAGTAAGAATTTTATCATGAGATAAGTGTTGTTATAAGAAGGTATAATAGTTATCGTCATTAAGTTTAATATAGTTAAATTCATAATCTTACATAGGAAAACGAAGTGCTGAAAGAGACATCCTCTACGGGTGGCATAAGTTTTTGTCTGATAAGGTTATCATTAGTAGTTCTTCTTATGGAAACTGTTCCTTTTGGACAACCGTCTCCTTCTGATCTTCCCAAAGGCCAACCATTTATTGATTCGTCAGAATACTCTTTCATTATAGGCAATGTTGGTTTCATCTGTGTGCATGAAAACCTCAAAAAGTATTAATATTAATATATATTATAATATAATTAGTTTCAATTTGGACTTAAGAGAATAATGTAGAGACAAACCTGAGGGTGAAATGTGTGATTTTGCAACAATGGATGGTCAAATGCAGGTTGTTGGTAGAAATTCACACAATCGTATATATCACCATATTCCGTCTGTAGACCCAATAGTAAATATACTATGTCATTTATAAATTTTGCTTAGGAAGATGACCTGATTTCTAAGTCACATTTATATTCTAAATGCAATTGATTGCTTAGGAGTAGAATTATAACAACCCGGCCTGTCATTTTAAAAGTTGTAGCCTTGTTTCCCCATTTATCGCTCATTCTGTGCTCTATAACTGTTATGTGACTTGCCGAGGTAGTCGATTCAGGTCCGGAGAGATTTTACAATGAATTGGAATACTTAGTTTCAAAGTTTAAAACTTAAGTTGAAAAGGTTGGCTGGATGTCGACCTATGTGTAAACGACCCCGGAATAGAAATTTGATTATTCCAATAGCTCCGTATGGTGATTTTGGACTTAGGAGCGTGTTCAAAATTATATTTGGAAGTCCGTAGTTAATTAAGGCTTGAAATGGCTAAAATAGGAATTTAAGTTTGGAAGTTTGACCGGAGAGTTGACTTTTTGATATTGGGGTCGGAATTCAGTTCCAAAAATTTTCAAGCTCCGTTATATTATTTATGACTTGTGTTCAAAATTTGAGGTCAATCGGAATTGATTTGATAGGTTTCGGTATCGAATATAGAAGTTGGAATTTGTTAGTTTCCGTTAAGCTTGCATTGGGGTGTGATTCGTGTTTCTAGTGTTGTTTGATTTGATTTGAAGTTTTGACTAAGTTCGTATCATATTTTAGGACTTGTTAGTATATTTTGTTGAGGTCCCGGGGCCTCGAGTGAGTTCGGACAGTTAACGGACCGAATATTTGCACTTAGAGTTGCTGAAATCTGGTGTCTGGTTTCCTTCTATGCGACCGCGCGAGAAGGTCCGCAATCACGTAGACTTAATTGGGCAGCTAAAATATTTGTGCTATGTGATCATGTGGGCAAGTCCACGTTCGCGTATGTTTGGCAAGCTGTGCTATGCGAATGCGTGGCTAAGATCGCGTTCGCGAAGAGGAAACGAGGCAGAAGCTGGTCTACGCGCTTAACCCTTCGCGATCGCGTGGACGAGTCCGCGATCGCGTAGGTCTGGAAATGATGTATTTCGCGATTACGTGGAGTTATCCGCGATCGCACAGTGTCAATTTTGGGCAATGGAGATTTGTTCTTCGCGATCGCGTTATTTCATCCGCGATCGCATACGCATAATTTTGGGCAACCTTATTTTGGTCTTCGCGATCGCTTGCCTTTGTCCGCAATCGCATAGAAGAAAAAGCCTGGGCAGAGAGTTTATGTTCTGAAAATGAGACTTCGTCCCATTTTCCATTTTTTACCAAATTGGAGCTCGAGAAGAGGCGATTTTCGGGAGAATTTCAAGGAAAACAATGGGGTAAGTGTTCTTAACTCAATATTGGTCAAATTACCTGAATCCATGGATGTTTTTTAACATTTAATTGGTGAATTAAGTTGGAAAAGTTTGAAAACCCTCTTGGATAAATTTGAGAATTTGAGGGCCAAATTATTATCGGAATTTAGTAATTTTGGTATGGTTAGACTCGTAGTTGAATGGGCATTCATATTTCGTAACTTTCGCTGGATTCCTAGACGTGGGCCCCATATGTGATTTTTGAGTTAATTTTGAATTTTATTGAAAAATATAGTATTTTCTTACAAAATTGATTCCTCTAATTGTTGTTGACTGTATCGAATTATTTTAGCTAGATTCGAGACATTCAGAGTTGGATAATCGAGGAAAAGTCCTATTAGTGGATTAAATTGAAGCAAGTCGAGGTAAGTGACTTGTCTAACCTTGTGTGGGGAAAATTTTCTTTAGGATTGGTATTGATATGAAAATGTTGATGTGTTGAAAGTCGTGTACACGAGGTGACGAGTGTGTACACGGGCTAAATGTGAAAGATTATATCTTTAAATTGTGTAGAGCATTGTTGCATATTAATTAAATTATTTATTTCTGTTATATTCATCACAATTAATATATTTTCGTATTTTAAATTTGTCTGACCTGTTCCTGCTAAGTGTTTTACCTGTTTAGTTGAAACTCTGCTTCTTTTGTTCCGTGCATTATTTGAAGGTGGGATTTCTTAATTTAAATATTATTAAAAATGAAGTATTTTACATTTAAAAATTTGATGTTAAGTCAAGATGTTAAATTTGTGAAATATTAATTTTGCTGAATAGTTTTTTGAGACTTTGTACTCATTGTGATTGAGTCGTGAGCTCCGTATTGTGGAAATAATGGATATTAAAATATTTGATTTATATTGGCAAATTAAAATATTTGAGCACTTGAGGTGCAAATTGTGATATATTGTGATATTGATACGCATGCGGCGGTATAGGGTTTGGGTGTTGAAATGCATGCAGTGAGATAAGGGTGGCTCGATATGCGTGTCTAGTAGGGGAACTATTAGAAGTCATGCGGTGTGATAAGGGTGGCTAAAACGCTGGATACTATTTCAGAAAAAAATATTTTCTTTAAAATTAAATGTGAAGGCTCCCGCGGTGTTATAAGAAAATGAGATATTGTGAATTTATTTATGATTTGGGACTACGAGGTGGTACCTCGGGAGTACCCTTGTTGATATTTCTTTATGGCTGCACTGCCTTTGATTATTTTTGGTGTTTTCCTTAAAGTTGTAAATTTCTGTTTTTCTTCCGCGAGGTGTTAATTGCCCTTATTCTATGTAGTTAAATTGTGATATACTACTTACTTGAATTATCCCCATTGTCATTATTGTTATTATATTGTTAAACTTTTTTCCCTGTCTTTTATTATTCCAGTAGGGCCTGACCTGACCTCGTCACTACTCTACCGATATTAGGCTTGGCACTTACTGGGTACCGCTGTGGTGTACTCATACTACACTTCTGCACATCTTTTTGTGCAGATCCAGGTACATCTTATCAGACCAGGCATCAGTGAATTATCCGTACGAGGAGACTTCGACGTATATCTTCCAGCGTCCGCAGACTACGGAGTCCCTTTCTATCTTATTATGTTGTCTTCCTTATTTCCTTTAGACTCTAATGTATAAAGACACTTATAATAAATTCTTAGAAGCTTATGACTTATTTCTACCGAGTTTTGGGAGTTGTGACTATTTGAATCGGGATTTGATTTATTTTATATGTTGAGATTTGAGTTTTAGTTTTGTATTCTGCATAATTGATAGGCTTACTTAGTCTTAGAGACTAGGCACCATCACGTCATCCTACGGAGAGAAATTGGGGTCGTGACAAGTTGGTATCAGAGCTCTAGGTTCATAGGTGTTATGAGTCACAAGCAGGTTTAGTAGAGTCTCGCGGATCAGTACAAAGACGTCTGTACTTATCTTCAGGAAGCTTTGGGACTGTTAGGAAAATATTCACTTCTTTCATTCCTTATCGGGCGACATTGATTTAGCTTGAAACATATATCTCATATTCCTTTGCATCCACTCGTGTATGACATTGCGCAGTCGATATCAGTTGTGTGTCGACGGTTCGTGATGCTGCAGATGGACTACGAGGGAGACAGAGATACTCAAACATTACCTCAATGTGTGGTTCCGACTGAAGATGCGGATGTATTGAGAGATCACCCAGTGGATCATGTGTGTGTGTGTGGGGGGGGGGGGGGTGCAACGGACCTTGGCATCTGGTTGATTTATATGAGCTGTGAAGGTAAATATTATGGACCATCGGACGTTGTGACCTATGACTTCGCGCCGAGTGGGGAGTCCACTATCAATGGATGGATTGCAGGGTCATGTGTTATATCAGTTTGGACCTGAAATATACATATGTTGTACTGAAAGGTTCCCCAAAATTTACACATGTTTAAGGCCTGAGATTTTGTAGATGATAAGGTTAGGACTTGTGGTATATCCGCCTCCTTAATAACCTTATACTTTAATACCAAAGGAGTTAGAAAAACAACTTTAAATTTACAGAAGGTCTACGCAGCATGGACGTCACGGTTGCAGATTTGGGGTGCTTCAGAGGAAGTACATTGGTTGACGAGATTCTGGACTATGTGGTTCGTGCCAAGATTTGTCTGTATGGAACTCTACTTTTGTGATCGTTGTGTATAATTAGGGGTAAGGGTTACCCCAAAGAAGAATCAAAGAGTATGTTAAGAAATGAGTCAGCTCAGCAGTGTTGAGTCAGCATAACAGAAGAAGAAATTGGCCTTGGGAGAGATAATTCACCACCGGTATTCGTGGCAAGCCTATGAAGGGTGCAGACCATACAATGCAACACCGCCCACGTGGCGCATAGGGTTTGAACGGTTGCGTCAGGTCACCATGACAGTGTCAGAATATGCCATAAGGTTCAATAAGTTAGCCCATCATAATCCTACTTTGGTTCCTACTGCTAGAGAGCGAGTCCACAAACTCATTAAAGGACTCAATTATGATCGTAAAATTTTGTACGACTCGGGAGCTACAGGCTGATACTTCATTTTCGCTAGTGGTATAAATTGCCAAGATATTAGAATGTGTTCGAGGTGAGGAAAAAAGAAAACTAAGGAGACCAATAGGTCTCGAGGTTCTGGAGGATTCAGTGGATTCTACTCTGGAAGTGTGAATCATTATGGCGGGGGCTCGGGTAGTCGGCCAGCCCAGTCCGCACATCGGATTACTGGGGGTGCTCCAGTAAGATCTTTTAATGCACCACCAATATGAGTTTCCTACAATGGTTATTCCCTTTATCTGGCATAGACTCAGTATGAGCAGCCAAACCTGCAAAGGGGTTGTTATGAATGCGGTGATACTAGGCACATCATGAGAAAATTGTCCCAGACTTGGGAGACATATTTCATCAAAGCACTCAGGTTACGTGCCCCATTGCAATTACTACACCACCTACATGACTAGTTATGGGTAGAGGGCGTCCTAGAGTTGGAGGCCCAACCGTTGATATTTTTTTTTTATGGTATGGCTGAGGTCGCTACATTAGATGGTGTCGTTAGAGGTACGACCTCGATTTAATATAAAGGAATAATTTCCTTAACTTGATTCGGTTCTGAGTATCGAGACGAGTCCTCCTATTGTGCTCCACTTATGAGGAGCTTTGTAATTCCTAATTATATGTTTACTCATGTTGGGAGATTTTATGGAGATAACTACGCCTATCATTACGTGTTGGTCACTAATAAGAGCTGTGTGGCTAAAGGTGGCTTTCTGTTACTCATTTCGGTAAGTTTTGATGTAATTTCCGAATAATTAATTACAAATTGTGAATTATATGCCCTACCAGTGTGGGGTTCATTATGTGTTGTAATTTTGTTTAACGGAAATTATTTAAAAGGAGAAAATGGAAAGTTTCGATTGGTACGATGTGCATATTACTTGTGATTCAGAACTGAGGACGAGATCCTCACATTTTAATATAAATTGATATGTTTTAAACCGGGCTATGAGCTGCGGTGGAAGTTATATAAGGACGAGATCATTGTGATGAAAATTCTTATATGAAATTCTCTGTGCATACTTGCCAAATTCGTGTTGTAATTATTGAGTTTTAACCTACGAGGTAGGTGCCCGTCCAGGTGGTGTTAAATGTGACTCGTTGATTCGGGTAAATAATTATGAGGGCTTCATACCTCGCATCTCGTTATCAATATTGTGAAGGTTTGAAATGAGATTTTTGTTAACATGAAGTTAATTGATGATTCTGTAATTGATTATGAACAACTATTAAGACCAAATTAACCTAGAAGGGTGCTCCGTTCAAGTGGACTGAGGAATGTGAGGAGAGCTTTCAAAAGCTCAAGACAGCTTTGACTACAACCCCAGTATTGGTATTGCCTACAGGTTCAAGGTCTTATAATGTGTATTGTGATGCGTCGCGTATTGTTCTCGGTGCAGTATTGATGCAAGATGGTAGGGTGATTGCCTATGTGTCTAGATAATTAAATGTACATGAGAAGAATTATTCGGTCCACGACCTTGAGTTAACAGCTATTGTTCATGCCTTGAAGATTTGGCGGCAATATTTGTACAGTGTCCATTGTGAGGTTTATACCGACCACCGGATTCTACAACATCTGTTTAAACAGAGGGATCTTAATTTATGACAGCGGAGGTGGTTGGAGTTGCTTAGGGATTATGATATCACCATTCTCTATCATCCTAGAAAGGCCAATGTGGTGGCCGATGCCTTGAGTCGTAAGACGGAGAGTTTGGGTTGCTTAGCATCCTTACCAGTAGTAGAGAGGCCTTTAGACTCGGATGTTCAGGCCTTGGCCAACCAGTTTGTTAGATTGGATATTTTCGAGGTGAGCTGAGTTTTGGCTTGTGTGGTTTCTCACTCTTTTCTGTATGATCGTATCAGGGAGCGTCACTACAATGACCCCCATCTGCTTGTCCTTAAAGACATAGTTCAGCACAGTGATGCCAAAGAAGTCACTATTGGAGATCACAGTGTATTGCGAATGCAGGGCATGCTATGTGTGCCTAATGTAGATGGTTTGCGTGAGTTGATTCTCCAGGAGGCTCACAGTTCACAGTACTCCATTCATCCGGGTGCTACAAAGATGTATCAGGACTTGAGACAACACTATTGGTGGAGGCAGATGAAGAAAGATATAGTGGAATATGTAGCTCGGTGCCTAAATTATTAGCAGGTAAAATATGAGCATCAACGGCCAGGTGGATCACTTCAAAAGTTAGAGATTCCGGAATGGAAATGGGAGCGGATCACTATGGATTTCATTTTTGGGGTCCCATGGACTCAGAGAAAGTTCGATGCAGTTTGGGTGATTATGGATAGGTTGACCAAGTCAGTCCATTTCATTCCTATAGTTACTACTTACTCTTCGGAACAACTGGCTCAGGTCTATATTCGCAAGATTGTCAGACTTCATGGCGTACCAGTATCTATCATCTCTGACCGGGGTATGCAGTTTACATCACAGTTCTGGAGGGCTGTACAGTGAGAGTTGGGTACTCGTGTGGAGTTGAGTACAACCTTTTACCCTCAGAAGGACGGACAGTCCGAGCGCACTATCCAGATATTAGAGGATATGCTTCGTGCTTGTGTGATAGATTTTGGGGGAGCTTGGGATCAGTTCTTGCCACTTGCGGAGTTTGCTTACAATAACAGCTACCAGTCGAGCATTCAAATGTCTCCGTATGAGGCCTTGTATGGTAGGCGGTGCCGGTCTCCAGTGGGTTGGTTCGAGCCGGGCGAAGCTAGACTATTGGGTACGGACTTGGTTCAAGATGCTTTGGAAAAGGTTAAGTTGATTCAGGATCGACTCCGTACAACCCAATATAGACAAAAGAGTTATGCGGATCGGAAGGTACATGATGTTTCATTCATGGTTGGTGAGCGGGTTTTGCTCCAGGTTTCGCCTTTGGAGGGTGTTATGAGGTTCGGAAAGAAGGGAAAGTTGAGCCCGAGGTATATCGAACGTTTTGCGATTCTTGAAAGAATTGGAGAGGTGGCTTATAGACTTTCACTACCACCTAATCTCTCTGCAGTTCATCCAGTGTTCCATGTTTCCATGCTCCGGAAGTATCACGATGATCCGTCTCATATGTTAGACTTCAGCTCAGTTTAGTTGGACAAGGATCTATCTTATGTTGAGGAACCAATGGCCATTTTGGATAGACAGGTTAGGAAGTTGAGATCAAAGAGCATTACTTCAGTAAAAGTACAGTGTAGGGTTCATCCGGTCGAGGAGGCGATTTGGGAGACCGAGCATGATATGCGCAACTGTTATCCTCATCTTTTCACCACTCCAGGTATAATTCTAAACCCGTTTGAGGACGAACGTTTGTTTAAGAGGGGGAGGAGGTAACGACCCGGCCAGTCATTTTAAAAGTTGTAGCCTCGTTTTCCAATTTACTGCTCATTCTGTGCTCTATAACTGTTATGTGACTTACCGGGGTAGTCAGTTTGTGTAACGACCCGACCGGTCATTTTGAGAATTTAAGTCCTATTCGGCGGCATAAGTCCCTGAGAAGCTTTCTATTATGTGTATTGACATGCGTGCGTGGTTGAATTCAGTTACCGGATGATTTAGAGTAATTTGGGACCCTTAGTTCCTAAAACGGAAGCTTAAACTTTCGGATTTTGACCGTAGTCGGAACTGTGTGAAAACGACTCCGGAATGGAGTTTCGTCGGTTTCGTTAGCTCCATTGGGTGATTTTGGACTTAAGGGCGTGTCCGTATTGTGTTTTGGAGGCCTGTAGCTCATTCAGGCTTGAAATGGCAAAAGTCAAAAATTTTGGAGATTTTGACCGATAGTGGACTTTTTGATATCGGGGTCAGAATCCGATTCCGAAAGTTGGAATAGGTCCATAATGTGGAATATGACTTGTGTGCAAAATTTGAGGTTAATCGGACGTGGTTTGATAGGTTTCGACATCAGTTGTAGAAATTTGAAGTTTCAAGTTCACTAAGTTTGAATTAGAGGGTGATTCGTATTTTTAACGTTGTTTGATGTGATTTGAGGGCTCGAATAAGTCAGTATGGTGATTTAGGACTAGTTGGTATGTTTGGTTGAGGTCCCGGGGGGCCTCGGGTATGTGTCAGATGCTTAACGGGTTGAGATTTGGACTTGTGTAGTTGCTGAAGCGTTCAAGCTTATGGTGTAATCACACCTGTGATGGGGTGGCCGTAGGTGCGGACTCGCACGTACGGAAGTGAACTCGCAGATACGGCCCTGTTCTGGGTAACCAGTGGCCGCAGGTGCGACAAAAGGGGCACAGAAGCAGAGCCGCACCTGCGGAGAAGGGATCGTAGAAGCGGAAGGCGAGCTGAGTGAGGATTCCGCTGAAGCGGACAAGAACCCGCAGGCGCGCACTCGCAGGTGTAGACTTATGCTCGCAGAAGCCGACAAGAGGACTTAAATCATTTTCACACCTGCGACGTTGCAAGACCGACTGGAAGCCCGCAAAAGCGGAAATCGCTGGGCAGAAAAGGGCTAAGTGCGAGGGTTGATTTAATTCTCCAATTTTGGACCTAGAGAGCTCGGATTGAGGCAAAATTTTGAGGGATTTCAGATTAGTCTATAGTTGAATTCATCATTTAATTAAGGAATTTGGTTGAGATTTTGGTATGAGGGAACTTGTGGTTGGTTGGGTGTTCGTATTTTGTGACTTTTACCTGTTTCCGAGACATGGGCCCGAGTCGACTTTTTGGGCTGAATTTTTGATTCCTTGCTAAAGTCGTAGATTTATTATTTAAATTAGTTTCTCATAATTTTATTCATGATGTGTAATTGTGTTTGGCTAGATTTGGGCCATTCAAAGTCGAATAATCGAAGAAATGGCATTCTTACTGATTGATTAAGCTTGGTTCGAGGTAAGTATCTTGCCTAACTTCGTGTGGGGGAAATACCCCTTAGGATTTGAGACTTCTATGCTAATTGTATTTCGTGTACACGAGGTGGCGAGTACGTGCTTGGACTTATTTGTGGAATGTTGGCCTTTTTGCCCCAAACTCGGGCTGAACTAGGACAATTAACTGCACTGGTATGACCTCTGGGACCTGGTCAATATGGACCCGCTGCTCTGGGGTGCGGGCTGCGGGAGTTTGTGCCCCTCCCCAGCCTGAGATATGGCTGATGCCAGTGGGATCAACCCTGCCTGAGCTAGAGTACCAAACATGCTCAAGAACTGGGCGAGAGTCTCTTGAAGTTAAGGGGTAGTAACAGGCGTCTCAGGTGCATGCCCTTCAACTGGAGCTACCGGTGGCTCCTCTGTCGTAGCTCGAGTAAGTGCTCTGGCTACACCACGTGTCCGTCCTCGGCCTCTCGCGGCTCTAGCAGGGGGCGCGGGTGTCTGATCGTCAGATCCAGCTGTGCGTGTCCTCACCATCTGTGAGAGAATAGAAACACAAATATTTAGAATTTCGAAGTAAACAAATTCGCACGATAAGGAATCAAAGAAGTGAAGCTTTTCCTAACAGTTTCATAGCCTCTCGAAGATAAGTACATATATCTCTGTACTGACCCATGAGACTCAACTAAACCTACTTGTGACTCATAACACCTATGAACCTAGATCTCTGATACTAACTTGTCACGACCCCAATTTCCCTCCGTAGGATGACGTGATGACACCTAATCTCTAAGAATAGGTAATCCTAACGTACATGCAGATTTTAACCGAGAAATAATAAAAACTTTCAAATAACTCAACAAGTATCATAAAAAGAACTTTGTAATTCAACAGAACACAACTCCCCAAAATCCGGTGATAACAAGTCATAAGCTCTACAAGAAACTATTGATCATCCCTATACAGTAGTGTTTATAAAATGGAAAGAAAATGAAGTAGACTAGATAGAGGGTGACTCTGAGGCCAGCGGATGCCGGCAGGTATACCTTGAAGTTTTCGAGTCTAAGCTCGACTCAATGGTGCCTGGGCTTGTAAGAGGTACCTGGATTCGCACAGAAGATGTGCAGAAGCATAGCATGAGTACACCATAAAGGTTCCCATTAAATGCCAAGCCTAACCTCGGTAAAGTAGTGACGAGGTCAGGTCAAGGCCCTACTGGAATAAATAAGAAATCGAGCAGGTATATAATAGTGTAATAATGATAAAGAATGGAAATGAATCAATGAAGAAATACACCAAGAATAGCTACACTGAACTAAGGAAAATAATGCATCACGGAACAAAACAAGGAATGATATGCCAAGGAAACAAAGCAACCATAATACAAGCGAAGTAATTTAAAAGTATCAACAAGAATCACTATCGAGGTACCATCTCGTAGTCTCAAATCACAAAATAAATCATAATCTTTCCATATATCACCGCGGGAGCCTTGCATTTAGTTTTGAAAATCATTTTTCCCGAAATAGCTTCCCGCATTTTAGCGCACCTTATCACACTGCGTGGCTTCAAGTAGTTCCCCTGCTAGCAACACGCGTATCAAGCCCACTTTATATCACCGCATGCGTTTCAACCCCAAATCCTTAGACCACCGTATGCCTATCAATATCACAATGTATCACAAATCGCACCTCACGCTCCCAATATAACAACTTGTCAAAGAAGTCAACAATAATGGTGTTTTCACAATAAATAACTCATGGCTCAACCATAATATGCACAAGAGTCTCAACAATAACAATCGGAAGTGAATAATTCAATAAGAATAGTATTTCACAACTTTACAACTTTGCCTCAATGTGAATCACGACCTTTATAACTCAATACCAACTTCAACAATAAGATATTCCAAGAAATAACAATTTCAAGTAAGGAACTCATCGGTTAAATAATGAATAGAGAAAATAATAATTTCAACTAGGCATGTAAAGGTAATTAACAAGTAAGAGGTAAGACAAGTAAAGCATATGAAAGGAATCTACATAGCTAGAATCGATCAATTACCACATTTAGCCCGTGTACACACTCGTCACCTTGCATACACGGCTTTCATATTTCACAATTAACACAAAACAACACCAATCCTAAGGGGTAATTTTTCCACATAAAGTTAGGTAAGACACTTACCTTAAAACACACTAACTCAATCCATTTGTAAGCCTTTTCCTCAATTATCCAACTCTGAACACCTCGAATCTAGCCAAAACAACTCCATACCATAAATATAAACTATAGGAAGCTATTCTGAATAATAAAGTTGCAATCTTTTCGATAACGATTCCAACCAAACAAGAATTACTCAAATCCGACTGCATATCGTCTTTAAAATCCCCAAAATTTAGTCTAAAAAGTTTTCACAATCTTTTCCCAAATTTCCAATTTAAATCACAAATTAAATGATGAAAATAACAATGGATTCATGTAATATAGTCAAATCCGGGTTAGAATCACTTACCCCGATGATTTTCTTGAAAATCCCTGGAAATATCGCCACAAACCAAGCTCTCTAGGACCAAAAGATGAAAATAAAATGAAACCCTCAAATGCAACTTAACTGCCCAGCGATTTCCGCTTCCGCGACCAGGAGGTCCTTTTCTGCGGAACCGATCCAGCGTAAAATGGATCGCACCTGCGCATCCCACTCAAGACCAGCTCCTCCGCTTCTGCGGAAATAAGCCCGCACCTGCACACGTGCGCCTGCGGAGGAAATATCGCACCTGCGACCATGCCCGCTCCAGCGCTTCCCTTCATCGCAGAAGCGACTTCGCTGTTGCAGAGACCTTTATGCTTTTGCGGTCCCAGCGTCCCCTACTCACTTCTGCACCTGCACTCATAAGGTCGCACCTACGACCAATCCCCTCATAGGTGCGAACACACTAGAAGGTCCACAATCTTAGCAATGTTTCAAGTCCCATTTTTTATCCGTTAACCATCCAAAATCCACCCGAGGACCCCGGACCTCAACCAAACATACCAACAAGTCCTAAAGTACGTTACAAACTTAGTTGAGGCCTCAAATCACATCAAATAACTTCAAAAACACGAATCGCACCCCAATTCAAGCCTAATGAAACTAAGGAATTTCCAACTTCTACAATCGATGCCGAAACCATCAAACCAACTCCGATTGACCCCAAATTTGTACACAAATCATAAATAACGCGACAGACCTATTCCAACTTCTGAAATCAAAATCTGACCCCGGTATCAATAAAGTCAACTCCCGGTCAAGCTTCTCAACCTTCCAAACCTTAAATTTTCTAACTTTCGCTAATTCAAGCCAAAACGACTTACGGACCTCCAAATCAACATCCGGACATGCTCCTAAATCTAAAATCACCATACGTAGCTATTGGAACAGTCAAAACTTCATTCCAGAGTCGTTCACACAAAAGTCAAACTACTGTCAACTCTTCCAATTTAAGCCTTCGACTTAGGGACTATGTGTCCCAATTCACTCCGAAACTTACCCGAACCAAAACCAAATACCTCCGGCAAGTCACATAACCATAATACAACATAGATGAGGCAATAAATAGGGGATCAGGCCTAAAATACTCAAAACGACCGGCCGGATCGTTACAAATATTTATCATCTGTGTACTTTTGTATGAATTATACTTCATATCCATATACGTGTAATAGATTATAATAGAGTGTATGATTTTATTTCATGTATGATAATTTACACTTACATATATATATGACAAGCATTGATGATTTATTCTCAACTATTCATTACCTCGCTCGAATGCTTGATCGGTGAATAAATAAAAAAATAAATCTTGAAGTTTAAGTGACTAGATGCTCCGGTATAATGAGTGACTAGATGCTCCAAGATGTGTACAATCGACAGAGTTTTGAATGTTTTATTATCGATTACCTTATTAGTACTTTGCTCGGATACTTTATCAGTGGATCAATTGAAAATTCAATTATATTCGATTAAAACTTACTATAACACATTTAAAAATAAAATGTATAGTTCTATAAGATGAATTTAAATTATTGTTATTTATAATCTATATATATTTAACAATATAAATTGTATGTGCGCGCGCGCACACACACATAGAGTCTCGAATGTTTTATTCTCGATTACCTTACTAGTACTTTGCTCGGATATACTTCATCAGTGTATCAATTGAAAATTTAATTATATTCGATTAAAACTTACTATAACACATTTAAAAATAAAATATGTATTATTTTATTAGGCTCGATACTATTAAGAAGTAAAAATATGTATCAAGCAAGGTAGAAATTTTCTTTCATTTATGTTCGTAATATACAAAACGGTAAGCGCGTAAAAGCTCGTGTTATGGCTGAGGTGGTCTACGTGGGTAGGGTTTATTTGACCGTTTGGCCATTACAATAAATCCTAACCATCAAGCTGAGGCTATTCAAGCACAAAGTTTCCTCCCTTGCTAAAAATCTTAACCCGAGGGCGATGGCCCCCAGTATTCAAGGTCGATCTTCGAGAGAGCTTGGACACTGTTGATGCAACCATCGACTCCGATTTGAAATCGGTCTTCAATTCTAAGTTAGCAAGATCCATTGTTGCCTCGTTAAAACCCTTGACGGAAAACCTATTTGGGACAAAAATCAGTTCAAGGGAAAAAGAGTTCAGCGCGAGCTTTCAGACCTAACAGTTACATCCTCCTTTGGTTGTTGCCTGCAAGTGTTAGTCCAATTCACAATATATAAAAAAAGAAAATGAATGAGGTCGTACCTTAGCAGTAGTATCATTTTAAGTGGGTCACGTTCTAGCTGTTCGGTAGTTGTACACTGTTCCCTGGTTCGAGTTTGTACAAACCTTTACCGGTAATATCGATGACTCGATATGGACCTTCCTAATTCGGTCCCAGCTTCCCTTCGTTCTGGTTTCAGGTATTCACTGTCACCTTTCTTAACACTAAATCCCCAATATTGAAGTGTCGGGGGTTGTCTATTCGATTGTAATATCTTTCTATCCACTGTTTCTAGGCGGCCAACCGGACTAGGGCGTCCTCGCACTTCTCATCCAATAGTTCCAGGCTTGTGTTCATGGCATCACCGTTTGATTCTTCGGTCACATATCGGAACCTGAGACTCGGTTCTCCCATCTCGATCGGTATTATTGCTTCGGCACCGTAGACCAATGAAAACACAGTGGCCCCGGTACTATATCTTGAGGTCGTACGATATGCCCACAAGACCTCAGGAATTTCCTTCCATTTGTTTTGGTATCGGACAACCTTTTCTTAAGCTTTTGGAGTAGATTCCGCATGTCCGTTCCCACTAGGGTGATAGGGTGTTGACAGGACCCTTTTGATTTTAAGGTCTTTAAAAAATTTACTTACCTTGTTGCCGATGAACTGCTTCCCGTTATCACACACGATCTCGACTGGTATCCCAAACCGACATATTATGTGGTCCCAAACAAAATCGATAACTTCTTTTTCTCGGACTTTCTCGAATGCCTGAGCTTTGACCCATTTAGAAAAATAGTCAGTCATAAATAGTATAAATTGAGCCTTATCGTATGCCCACGGCAGGGGACCGACAATGTCCATTCCCCATTTCATGAATGGACAAGGTGACAAGACCGAGTGTAGCATCTTTCCGGGCTGGTGGATCATCGGTGCATGCCTTTGACAGCCATCACATCTTTGTACAATGTCCCTTGTATCTTTCTCTATGTCGGTTCAGTAATATTCGGCCCTGATTATTTTCCTAACCAAATACTCTACCCCCGAATGGTTCCCGCAGGTGCCCTCGTGAACTTGTATCAAGAAATATTCGGTGTCTACCGATCCCAATCATACGGCAAGTGGGCCATCGAGTGTTCTTCTGTACAAAGTGCCTTCTGACAAGCTAAACCTAGCCACCTTCGTGTGCAGAGCCCTTGATTCTTTAGGATCCGATGGAAACTTCCTGGTCTTAAAGTAATCTATATACTTATTTCTCCAGTCCCAAGTCAAACTTGTTGAGTTTATTTTGGCATGCCCTTCCTTCACTACAGATTTCATGTGTTGAACAACCGTTCCTTAGCTGAATTCATCGTCATCAACCGATGGCCCCAAGTTAGCTAGAGCATCGGCTTCGCTATTTTGATCCCAGGGTATGTGTTGTAGGGTCCATTCCTTGAATTGATGTAGTGTTACCTGTACTTCTGTCCAAGTACCTCCGCATTTGTTCTTCTTTTACTTCGAATGTCCCATTGACTTGATTTACCGCAAGGAGGGATTCACATATAGCTTCGACCACTTCGGCCCCCAGGCTTTTATCCAGTTTGAGACCTGCAATCATGACCTCATACTCGGCCTCATTGTTAGTCAATTTTACAGTTCTAATGGACTGCCTAACTACGTTACACGTAGGCTTCAATACGATGCCGAGTCCGTTCCCCTTTGCATTCGAGGCACCGTCAGTAAATAGGGTCCAGATTCCCAAGGAGGTCCCCGAGGTTATCAACAATTCCTTTTCGACTTCGGGTATTAAAGCCAGCGTGAATTCGGCCACGAAGTCTGCCAAAATTTGAGATTTGATGGAGGTATGGGGGTGATATTTGACATCGTACCCGCTAATTTCTATGGCCCATTTGACCAATCGGCCCGAGAGCTCGGGTTTGTGCATTATGTTCCTTAACGGGTAAGAAGTTACAACGCATATGGGGTGGCATTGAAAGTATGGTTTCAACTTCCTGGAGACTCTTAGCAAAGACAACACCAATTTTACTAGGTGAGGACATCTCGTTTCGACCTCGCCTAGAATCCTACTAACATAATAAATGAGAAATTGCGTACCTTCCTCTTCTCGGACTAAGACTCTGCTTACCGCTATCTAGGATACCGGTAAGTACAGTACAACTTCTCGTCTGTCTTCGGTGTATGGAGCAAAGATGGACTCGAAAGGTACCGTTTGAGTTCTTCCAAAGCCTGCTGGCACTCCGAGGTCCATGAAAAGTTATTCTTTTTCCTCAATAACGAGAAGAAACGATGACTCTTATCGGAGGATCTCGATATGAATCAGCCCAGGGAGGCTATGCGCCCGGTTAGCCTCTGAATGGCCTTGACATTATCCACCACGGTGATATCCTCTATAGCTTTGATTTTGTTGGTTGTATTCACTGAATATGCAGTTGTTATGTTATGAATACGTTTCTTAATTACTAGTTTCACCTCTACTTAATTTAATTAGAATTAATTGCTTCATGATCCGCCCTTGATGCTTATTTGAGTCATATGCGCCTTAACTGAAATTGCTATCTCTTCTATTGCCATGTTATCTTTCCCCTAACTGCTTATCTTTATTTGAAGTTATAATTATCTCTTTTGTAATTGTTCATCCTTAATTAAGGCTATGATTATCTTTCTGCTGCTTATCCCTACTTGAATTTGTTGTATCTCTTTCTTAATTGCCAACCTTAAAAGAAGTTAGATATCCTATATTTTAGTTGACTTGTCCTTATTTGGAATTATTCTCCTTGTGTTAGCTCCCTCATTGTCGAATTGTACATTGTGGACCGTTGTTACATAATATTTCCTGTCTTGTTGAGCTGCTCTTATTATGACTAGCATTCTCAATTGTGGCCTCTCCTAGTGAAATAATTCCTCTGTTCCTTTGGGTTTTGGAATTTCTGAGTTGATTTATTTGTCGTACCTTTGTATTAGTGTTATTTTTGCTGTTGTACTTGTTGTTCTTGCGTATTTACTTTGGTACTACGAGGCAGTACCTCGGGAGATCCCCTGTTGAGCATTTACTTTTGGGACTACGAGACGGTATCTCGGAAGTGCCCTTTATTGACATCTCTTTGCTATTGGGTTGCACGAGGTTTCTGCCGTGCTATTGT